ACATTGAAGAAGACAATTGAGCAGTCTACCTCAGGGGTTGCCCCTGCTGCCCGAACAGATGAGACAGCTACTGATATTTCAGCGGCAGATAGTGGATCTAGAGGATGACAGGTCTGAGCTCTCACCATGACTGGGATACCTATGCCAGAAAGTAATCAAAACAAGGTAATTCGACAGAACAACATAAAAAAATATACTTTGAAACAAAAAATACTAACACAAATAAAAGGCCAACAAAAATAAGATTAGAAGCAAAGTAGTTGCGCTTGAGATATTAAACCAATCATGTGCCTTCACCTAACACTAACAATTTAAGTTTTAAGCTTCTGAATCTCTCTACAAATCCATGTTAGCAACACTTTCACGACATGAACAAAATACCTCAAAGAAACCAAAATAACATGTCTCTATCCCTCATCAAAATATGAAGGAAAGACACCGCAAACTCGAGAGGACAACATAAATTACACATTCCCAAATAGAAAGCTCATTACTTTTCTTTTCCATTTTAATAGAAAAAAGTTTATTACTTAGTCCTTCATGCTAAGAAGGAATAATAATAATAATAGTTTGATTAGTCAAAAATAACTCAACATTCTTATTCTTCTTTGTTTTAATCAGTCAAAGCAGAAATTGCTGCTTATTCAACCAAGTTCTGATAAATGACAAAAAAAAAAAGATAATATTTATGATTTGTAGCCTAAAATAAGTGAAAATGACAATCAAACTTAAATTAAAATTATCTGAATCAGCTAATCAGCATAGAGTAAGACCAAAATAGTAAATACTCCAAATAAATACCTAAACTAAAATTGAGTAGTAGTTCAACATGAAAATTTCTCCTTCTTTAATACAACTATCTATCTATTCTAAAAACTAAATTAAAAAAAAAAAAAAAAGAGAAGTAATAGAAAGAGGGTAAAGGTGAAACCTTTAGTAGTAGGAGTGGTTTTGGGAGGGAATGAATCAAGGGAAGTTGTGTTTCGGGTCGGATCCTGAGATGGGTCAGGCGTAGTTTTCTTCTGAGCTGTGGCCATTGTAAAGGGTTAGCGAGGTCACAGTAGAAAACTGTAGAGTAGAAGTATAACAGCAAATGCTTCTTTTCTCTTTCTCCCTCACAAAGAAGAAGAAGAAAGAAGAAGCTTTATTTGTTTATATCTGATTTCAACAAATTGAATGAAAAGGGGTTGCTTTTCCGTGAAGATTGAAAGCGATGGAAAGTGGAGTATTTGTTTTTTCTTTTCTTATGTTATTTTTAAGTTTTTGCTTTTTTTTCCTACCGCATTTCTTTCACGTTTGTGAAAGAGAATAGCAATTGTGCTATTTGGAACATTGTTTTTGCTGATTAGAAACAATTTTATTTTCTAAAATCAAACTAGTTAGTCTTTTTTTAATTATCACTTTTTGATTTTTTATATATCAAAAAAGTTAATCATATTGTTATTTTTAAAAAAATAATTTTCCTTTTATTTATAATGTCCTTAATTATTTATTAGATTTATTTTACTTTTTTATTTTTTTATAATAATTATTTAAGAATAATTTTGACAAAAGTGTAGTTAATATTACTTTAAACCAGTGTTTTAAATACCAGACCGGTCATCGAACCGGTGAGGATATTGGGTCACTGGTCTATCGGTCGAATCACTGAGTCACTGGTCGAACCGCATGACTAAATTGGATTAAACCAGATAACTCGATTGAATAGACATGTCATTATATAGATATAAAACCGGTCGAACCGGATGATTCCGTTTCTAAAAAAATATAACTAATACTTAAATTTTTTGAAAATATTATATCATAAATTCACAAGTTCATAATTTAAATTCAAATTTTAAACAAATGTATCACACATAACAAAATAATACAAAATTACAAAATCTAATTGCAAACAAAGTCTAATTGCAACAGCTTCTCCATCAATGATATTATTTATTGATTATTATGAAAAGAGGTAACTATTTGTAAGTAAAATATGATTCTCCTAATAAGAAAATCAAATAAAATTCAATATGTTTATACTATTTCACTTTCCCTTTCAACTAAATTAATGTCTTTTTCTATTGTTAATATTTTGACACTAAATATAATTAATTATAAATTATAATTAATTAAAATTATTAACAGTGACAAAATATAAAAAGATAAAATATATAACAATTTAAAAAGTTAAAATAATAAGGTAACTAATTTGTTACTAACCACAAAACTACAAACTATTTAGAAAAATGTATTAGCAAAAATAACAAATAGTCAATAAAGTCTGTAATTTGTCACTAACGGAAAAAATTTATCTGATAATGCTATTTAAGTAATACACTACTAAGTATATTAAAAAAAAATTAAAAAAAAATTAAACCGTCGGTTTAGCAAAACCTCTGGTTCAATGGCGAGGCCGATCCGCCAATTGAATCAGACCGGCAAGTGTTCCGGTCCGGTCCGATTTTTAAAACACTGCCTTAAACTTTACGAGTAACAATTAAAAAAAACAAAAAAATATCAAAAAAGTGACACTTTAAAAAGAACGAAGAGAGTAACGAACTTGAGCCTACGCACGTGGTACGTTTGTAGGTGGGATATGGCTTTAGACTAGCGTTTGTTTGCAGACTGACATAAATTTTGAAAGTTGAAAATAAATAAAAAACTTAAAAATAATAATATATTTAAGTTAAAATAGTAATATCCGTAGAAGATGAAAGGTAAACATCAATATCAATAATAATATGATTAACAAAAACTATTGAAATTTGTATTAGATAAATTAATTGTTTAAATTTTTTTAACAAATAAGACAATTATGTTATAAGAGAGAATACAATGGTTGATAAATTTCTATCATTTAATAGTTGAGTCAGTAATAAAGTTGATCACGTTTATAACAATAGTATTTATTTTCGTATATAAAAATATTTTATTCAATAATATATTTTTTCTCGTATATGAATACTATTTTTTGACATTATTTATAAATATAATTGAATAAAAATATTATTTTTATTTTTATAATATTTATAAAAATATTTGAATCAATGTTCCCGTTATAAAAATATTTAAATCAAAATATTATTTTTGTTTTGACAATATAAAAATATTTGAATCAATAGTAAGATTATTCTCGGTTATAATAATAGTATTTTTTCTCTTATATAAAAATATTTTAATTAATAATATATTTTTCCCATATAAAAATATTAAATTTGTTTTGATATAATTTATTTAAAAAATGAATCAACAGTAAAATTATTCTCGTATATAAAAATATTTGAATCAAAAATAAGATTGTGACAGTTTATAACAATATTATCTTTTTCGTAAATATTAGAATTAACAATTTATTTTTTCTCATATATAAATATTATATTTTTATTGATATTATTTATAAAAATATTTGAATCAATAGTAAAGTTGTTTTCGTTTATAAAAATATTTAAATCAAAATATTATTTTTGTTTTGAAAATATAAAAATATTTGAATCAATAGTAAAATTATTTTCGTTTATAACAATTGTATTTTCTTTCTTATATAAAAATATTTTAATCAGCAATGTATTTTTTTCTCATATATAAATATTAGTTTTGTTTTGACACTATTTATATAAAAAATTGAATGAACAGTAAAGTTGTTTTCGTATATAAAAAATTTGAATCAAAAATAAAGTTGTATCCGTTTATAACAGTAATATTTTTTTTAATATAAAAAAATTAAATTAAAAGTAAAGTTGTGACCGTTTATGTTAATAATATTTTTTTTTTATAATAGCAAAATTTGAATTGGTACCGGTGCCATACGCGCACTTATTAACATACCTAAGAAATTTGTCAATAAATTTTTATTTTTTAATATTTGAATCAATAATTTTATTTTTTATATTTAATATAATTTATATGATATAAAAAATGTAAAAATCATTAAAAATTAGTATTTGTCACTCAAAATATTAAAATTAATTATACTTATAACAAAATTTGAAGCAAATACGGGTGAATTGATGGATTTATTCATCTATCTTAAAAATATTCAAGACATAATAAATAATAAACATTATTAAATATTGTATTAAATAAATCATAATTTTAGTATTTTAGTAATAAAATTATTTGATAAAAGAAAATTATTAAGTGGTATTGGTTTGGTGTCTTTTTATGTTGGAAAACGATGCATCTATTCCGTGGGTCCAGCGTAGACAGAATTGCATGTGAAACTAAAATTTACTTTCTTTTTTTTATTTAACATATCAACTTCCAACAAAACATCAGTAAAAACTCAAATTCAATAACCAAATGAACATATTTATTACAAACATAAAAAAGTAATAATCACATGATCCGTTAAATTTATACCTATATAAACAAAAAGATTATAAGATAAATGAAAAAAAAAATTACAAACAGTAAATTAGCTCATTAAGAAAAATAGAGTATATGATGGAATATATTTATAATATAAGAAATTTTGTTGTTTTGTAAATAACGAAAACACTCTTTGTTTAATTTTCGTCATGTCATCAAAATTTGGGTATTTGATGTCTAAAACCATCTATTTTCAACAAAATTTGGGCATTTGATGTCTAAAACCATCTATTTTCAACTAAATCTATCTACTAATTCATATCCAATTCCAAATTTACTACTAATTACTACAATTTTACCTTCATTTTTGCCACTTGCTGCTTTTGCGATCATATCCAATTTTTGCCTTCATATTCAATTCCACATTTACTACTAATTACTACCAAAAAGTGACAAACCGAACTATGTACAGTAAAATGCAAAGGTATGGTTTGTCTTTTTTATACAATACCCAATGCTGCTTTTGCGTAGGATCCACATGCTTGGAAGAATCCATTTTCCAAAGTGTTTCACTATTGACAGCAGACACTCTTCTTCATCAGCAACTCCCTTCTTCTTTCTTCCAACAACCCGGTAGAAACTTCATCAAAATCTTCTCCATCAAAATACTTTTTCGCCGAAACAAAATCTGAAAAATTTCAGCTACAATGGCAAGACCATTTGCAATTATCAAAGACATCAATGACAGCAAGGAACTATGGAAGATTGCGGTCAGAATTCATCACAAGTGGAGTGTGGTATCAAAGAGTAAGCACGACATACCTCCAAAAATTATGAAGTTCACACCGTTTGCTGATATTATATGTGGAAAATGGAAAAGGAATCTTCTAATAGGTTTGTTTTGACCCATAAGTTGGAAAAATGTATTCCAATATGTTTTATCATTTTGTGTTATAATGTATGTTTTGTTTATCGAATGGCATGTTGCAGATGTTATTGCGGTGGTGATAGAAATTGGATGCACACAATTACAAGGCGGCTCAAAGAAACAACAAATTAATTTAGTCTTGAAGGACTTGGGGTAAGTTTGGAAAACTATGGCACCTTTGTTACTTAGATTTTTTTTGTCTTCACCCTTTTCATTTGTTGTAACCATCTTCTTTTATATATTCGCAGTAATAACACGGTTGATTGTACTTTGTGGGAAGGTTATGCTTTGCAGTTTGATGAATACATAAAGAATGTGAAGAATGTTTCAATACCAATTGTTATCATTTCGCAATTTAGAAAAGTTAAAGAAGAGGGTATGTGATACTATTATTATTATTTCAGAACCTAGTGTTTTAATTCCTTCGTAACATAACCATTGATTAATTTTTTCATTATCCATGAAGGAAAGTATCATTTATGTGTTTCAAACACATTCAATGTGACTAAGTTACACATCAACAAAGACTTACCGGACATAAAGGATTTCCTTAAAATTTCCTTCATTCTTGCATTTGCTTATAGGATTTGTTTTACTGAGTTAACAATATGTTTACACTCCTTTCAATCATGTTAATCCTTTTATATCTGTTTTTAACATAGAATCCCAAAAATGCTTGTCAATCAAGGATCGTACCAAAGTTTGACGACACAGTCACATAACTGGTCTCAGACATCAGAAACTTCTCAACCTACGGCTTACGACAAATTCATGTATAAGGTCGTTGTTCTTCCTCTAACTCAGATTATTCAAATTAAAGATGTAACATCTACTATTCCACGTCATTTTTATTTTTATTTGTGTTCATTTCTTATACATATTTCTAACTTATATTAACGTTTTTACATTGCAAATAGATCACTCAATGTGTTGCCGTAGCAAGTACTGACAAACTAAGATCATGCCAATGGGGCTGGTATTACGAGGCATGTCATGAATGTCCAAGAGTTACTGAGGGACATAATGTAACACCCATTTTAATTATTTAGTCATTTTATTATTATTTTAAATATTATGTGTTGGTGTGCCCTTTGGTGGGGGTGTATTTGGTGATGTTTGGTGGGTGTCCCTAATGTGGGAGGATTATTGGTGGTGTTTTGGTGAATATAATAATATAGTGTATAATATTAATATTGGTGGGAATATTATTATTATTATTATATTTATTATAGTTACTATTGTTATTAATATTATTATTATTTTGGTGAGATAATAATATTATTACTATTATTATTATTATTTTATTAAGTTATTATTATTATTATTAAGTTATTATTATTATTGGGATTAGAGAATTAAAATAGAGAATGTGAGGGGTTAATAGTTTTTATGATACATTGTGAGAAGTTAGAGAAAGTGGAAAAAGAACGATAGAAAGGAGAGAAGTGAGAAGAACGGAAAAGGGAGCGAAGAACGAAGGAACGGGGGAAAATCAGAATTGGCCAAACCTTGGAGGGTTCTTTCATCGATCAACCGATTAACAAGGTAAGGGGGGAGAAACTTGATTGGGAATGGTTTATACATGTATAGGGTAGTGGGGAGTCCTTAACCCCGTAGGAGATTGATCGATATATGATTTTCTGTATTATATGTGGTGATTGTTGTTGATTGTTGATGGTTGGATATTAAACGTTGATGAATTGTTGTTTTTGGCCAATTTGGCATATAGGTGATTTTACGGTTTTTAGGGAAATTCTGTAGGGATTTTGATGTATCAATAAAGTGTCTAGGTGATGATTTTGGGATCGGGATTAGGAATCATTTAGGCTGAATTACGTGTAATGTTGGTACTGATGTTAAGAGGTGAATTGGAAGTAGGAAGTTTAACCCATTTGGCTTAGAAAGCACTTTGCAGAACTGTGAAAAATTGGTAAATCGCAGCATTCGCTGGGTTTCGCCTGGCGAGTGTTGGCGAAGCTTCGCCTGGCGAAGGGAGGCGAGAGTTCGCCTGGCGAGCTGAGGCGAATGGCAGCGAATAATTCAGAATTAAATCCCAGACCTAAAGGGTAGGAACTTCGCCTGGCAAGTGTGGCCAGCGAAGGTTCGCCTGGAGAATGATCCATTCGCCTGGCGAATGCACGATAGTGGAAAAGGGGCTTCGCCAGCAGGTTCGCCTGGCGAATGCTAGCGAAGGTTCGCTACGGGGCTTCGCCTGGCGAATGTCAGCGAACGTAGCAGAACCAAAATGTGAGTGTTGTGATGTTTTGGCCTTGAGCTTGGGCTTGTGTGATCCCTTTGGCCTTGATGCACTGTAAGGTTGGTGAGTGTGGGATTTAACTTGCGTACTGGTGATAGTACGTGTTTCCCTTGATATTGTCGGTGGACAATTAGTTGAGGTATATGTATGTAGTGATCAGTAGGATCGTGTACCCCCGAGTGGTGGGATATGTTTATATCTTGGTGTTAAAGTATGAACTTGTTTACTATCTGGTTGATTTATATGGTGTTGGTGTATGTTATATCTGTACATATATGCATTGAATGTATGATGATATGATCAGGAGGATCGTGTGCACGTTGAGTGCTTAAATATATTAGTTATGCATTGGTGTGTGCATATCATGGTGTTTTGGTGGGATGAATCATGTCTCAGGAGGAGCGTAAGTGATTCATCCGTACTCCTTTGTGGAGAATGGTGGGGGATAGATCATGTCTCAGGAGGAGCGTAAGTGATCTATCCAGGTTCGATTGAATGAACCAACGAGTCGGTACCGCATGCATGGTGTTGAGTTGCATTTTGCATTATAATATGTTATATTGTAATTTGAACAGTAGGTTCGTCATATGGTGTTGTTAGGGGTGAATCTTGGTGTGTTGGTGTGTTGTACTACCTTATTTACATGTATTACATTACCATTATATTTTTGATCATGTTTTCTCACCCCTTTGTTGTTGTTGTGGTCTGTGCTTCTTCGGAAGTACAGATAATCCAGGTGCTTAGCTAGCTTGGATATTGGTGTGATTGTCGAGTCTAGGATGCTCTGATACGTAGCACGGGACTTGGGCATTTTTATTTGTGTTATGTTGAACTTATATTTTATTTCCCTGTGAACGTATCAAACTTTTATTGAATTTCATTATTTAACATTCCGCTGTATTTGGAGAAAAACCTTTTTATAAGGAAACGTTGTTATTATGTGATATCCCACTTGGGAGAATTGGAACTCTGATTTTGTTTATTTATAATCTTTATTAATTTAGATGATTTTGGGAAGTGGGGTGTTACAATTGGTATCAGAGCAGGTCGGTCCGTCCGGCCAGTGTTGTTGAGTCGAGTTGAGTCTGTCCTTTATGGTGTAGTTGGATATCTTTTAACCTGGTGTTGTTGTTTTGAGAAGTATGGCGGGAAGGAACGATGTTGCATTGGCTGCTGCTATGCAAGCAATGGCACAGGCTGTTGCTAATCAGAATCAAACTGCAGATGCCCAATTCAGGAGTTTGGCGCAGTTTCGGAGCAACAAGCCGCCAACGTTCGAAGGGGGAATTCTGGACCCCGAAGCTGCTCAGAAGTGGCTGAAGGCAATTGAGAAGATCTTCAGAACTATGGAATGTAGCGATGAGCAAAAGGCGAGGTTTGGTACTCACATGCTGGAGGGTGAAGCTGAAGCTTGGTGGGACAATAGTCGCCAAAGGTTGGAAGCTGCTGGAACTACCATTACTTGGGAGGTGGTTCGGAAAGGTTTTCTGGAGAAGTATTTCCCGGAAGATATCCGAAGCGCTAAGGAAATTGAATTCTTAGAGCTGAAACAGGGTAGCATGACTGTAGCAGAATATGCTGCCAAGTTTGAGGAGCTGGTGCAGTATTGTCCCCACTATAATGTGGAAGGGGCAATGACCTCTAAGTGCTTAAAGTTTGAGAATGGACTGCGTCCAGAGATTAAGTTGGGGATTGCTTGTCAGAAGATCAGGAGCTATCCTGAGCTGGTAGGCAGGAGCAGAATCTATGATAATGATAACCGAGCAAGGATTGCGCACTACAAAGCTGTTAATGACCGTAAGGGTAAGCAGAGGTTTAGTGGTACTCCTTATAGTGTTGCTGCTGATAAGGGAAAGCGTAAAGCTGTTGTTGATAAGAAGCCTAAAGATGGGAGAGCATCTGCTGAAGGGAAATGTTTTCGGTGCGGTGGTATGGGACACCGTGCTAATGATTGTCCTAATGAGGCCAAGAAATGTTTTAAGTGTGGGAAACCAGGTCATGTGATAGCTGATTGCAGAGCAACTATGCCGACCTGTTATAATTGTGGTGAGAAGGGTCATATCAGTACACATTGTGAGAAGCCGAAGAAGCCTCAAACGTCTCCGGCTGGTGGAAAAGTGTTTGCCTTGGCAGGAACTCAAGCTGCCAGTGATGAGCGTGTGATCAGAGGTACTTGTATTATCAATAATATTCCTTTGATTGCTATTATTGATACGGGTGCAACGCACTCGTTTATTTCTGTAGATTGTGTGGAGAGGATAGGTTTGGTGCCGTCCACTCTGGAGAGACAGATGACTATTGAGACACCCTCTATAGGTTCAGTGACTACTTCTTTGGTATGCCTGAAGTGTCCGCTGACTATTTTCGGTAGAGAATTTGGAGTGGATCTGATTTGTCTACCACTTGGTAAGTTGGATGTTATTCTGGGTATGAACTGGTTAGAGTTCAACCGAGTCTACATCGATTGTTTTCGGAAGGAATTGTTGTTCCTGACCCCTGAAGAGGAAGCTTTAGCAAGTTCTTTGTCTAATAAAGAATTGAGGGCCTTGTTGGAAGATGAAACTAGAGTGTTTGCTTTATTTGCAACTTTATCGCTGGATAACAAAGTGCCAATGGAGGAATTAGCAGTGGTGAATGAATTTCCAGAAGTGTTTCCTGACGACATTACGGAATTTCCTCCGATGCGAGAAGTAGAATTTGGTATTGATCTTGTTCCTGGTACGAGACCTATTTCTATGGCGCCGTACAGGATGTCTGCAGTGGAATTGGCTGAGTTGAAGTCTCAGATTGGAGAATTGTTGGATAGAAAGTTTATTAGACCAAGTGTATCGCCGTGGGGAGCTCCAGTGTTGTTGGTGAAGAAGAAGGATGGTAGTATGCGTCTGTGCATCGATTACCGTCAATTGAATAAAGTGACTATTAAGAATAAGTATCCTTTACCTAGGATTGATGATTTGATGGACCAGCTGGTGGGAGCTCGTGTATTTAGTAAGATCGACTTAAGATCGGGTTATCATCAGATGAGAGTAAAAGAAGGTGATATTCAGAAGACTGCCTTTAGGACTCAATATGGACATTACGAATATGCTGTAATCCCGTTTGGAGTGACTAATGCACCGGGAGTATTTATGGAGTATATGAACAGAATTTTCCATTCTTACTTGGATCAGTTCATTGTAGTGTTTATTGATGATATATTAATTTATTCTAAATCTGATGAAGAGCATGCAAGACATCTGAGAATTGCCTTGCAAGTGTTGAAGGAAAATAAATTATTTGCTAAACTGTCAAAGTGTGACTTTTGGTTGAAGAAAGTAAGTTTCTTGGGGCATGTAATATCTGAAGATGGAATAGCGGTGGATCCGTCAAAAGTAAGTGC